GGAAGTCAGTGAACCTGAAATAAGAGACAAGGGTGAGAGTATAAATAAAACAGGAAACACAAGACAAGAAACATGAGGGATGGACAAAGACTTAACCAATCAGGAGATGTGACAACCAATTTTTGCAGGTTTAATTTCAGCAGGAATCATCATCTCGAGATCATGAATTCCTGCAAAACGTCATTGTATCCATGTTATTGTAATAGACATGATTAATTTCGCAGCAGAATATTAAACAAACCAGGATTACCTTTTAAAGAGCCGCTGTTATATGATTTTATGCAAACATTATGAAGGTCTCTGTTCAGGGTTTGCTGCATTAGCGAGGCTCCTGCTAATGAATTAGAGTAATGTCATGAGTTTGCTGCAGGCCCTGAGGCCAGGCAACAGCTGCCCACAGATGATCTACGGCTGCTACGCGTCTGCTGATTGGCCTGCAAGAGCCGAGGCATGCATGTGACCTGGATGTGTGTGCATGCTGCATTCACCCGGTTCAAATAATGCAAATAATCCTGTAAAGGAAGCTTTTATCTGATTGAATCGTGTCCAGGAAATGTGCGCATTACCTGTTGTTAACAACAACAACAACAAGGAGCCTGATGGAGCTCTGCTAGTTGGGCTTTCTTTTTTGTTCATGAGCAGAAGAGAGGCCGTAGAAATTGGTACGATGTGCAAAAGAAATTAATTTTGCTAATTTGAAATGAATGAAGGTGTCGTCGCCCCAGGTGTTGGCGGCGGCTCATTTTCAGATGCAATTATTAGATTGGATCAGGAGGGTACGTGAGTAATCATTTGTGGAAAATCAGTTTTCATAGGATTGCGATGACATCCAGCGTCTCACTGGGCTCAAGCTGCAGATATTCAATTGTTGACGAGGAGGAGACGGTCACACTTGATTGGTGACTGATCCCCCTGCAGCATGTTTTTGCTGGCTGTAATAGGGCTGTCTTTTATGCAAGGAAATATCAAAACTGTCTCTATTAAATAAGTTTTTTTGAAGTTATAGAAATGCAGGCCTGCAGTTAAAAGGTGGGGTAGGCAGGATCTGAGGAATTGCCAGTTTTTGGGAGACATCTTGAATGTAAACTCTACTCCTCCCAACCAGTTTTCCCCTCAGCTCCTCCTCTCCCCTTCCTCAATGCTCCAGCAAGCCCCGCCCACAAACAGACGCTCCTGCTCACTTGTATCCAGATATAATGCAGATAAATACTTAAGATAATTACAAATGGGGCCCAGTCAACATGAAAGTAAAAAGCATTGGTGCTACTGTAGATGCCAACAGACTACCAGCAAACACAATGTTTGCAGGACTTCTACAACTAGTACTGTAGTGCTGATCCATCTGAAGATTTAAAAACGAACAATAAAATTTTAAAATGAATTCTAAAATGGACAGGAAGCCAATGGAGGGATGCCAGAATAGGAGTGATGTGGTCATGTTTTCGTTTACTTGTTAAAAGACGAGCAGCAGCATTTTAACTGACATAGTCCAGGACCCGAGGTAAACAGTCGAGCGGCGCTACAACATGCAGCAGGTCCCGTTAGACTAGAAACACTTCTGTTACAGACACTTGGCTTACTTTGTTAAAGCGGTTTACATGTCCAGCAGAAAGGTTACAGGGTCCGTAAGATCCCGAAGCGTCCTCATCATTGTTGACCCGGCTTCTTAGCTCTTGTCCGGTCTACCTCATTTTTACTCGCCCGTTATTCCGCCAGTCTTCGGTATTTACTTTTTCTTGCTTGTGTTGGCTGTCTTGGCCAAAAGAGGATTCAGACAATTTTCTTGATATTGTAGCACGCTAACTTTGTTTTGGCTCGTGAACGTTATTCGTGGAGCCTAACAACTTGAGGGAGCAGCGTCTGCATCACAACCAATCAGGTCGGGTAAGTGAAGAACGGCTTTGTTTACAGTCATAATGACTGTAAAATGTTGACTTCACAGGCATAAGAGAGCACAGCGATATTGTGATACTCCCAAATATCATCAATAACTAATAGCTATTGACTGATATTAAAAGCTTTCTTGATATACAACACAAAAAGGTGCTTCTTTGACGGATTCCTGCCTACCCCACCTAAGATCAGTGCTGGACATCACATAAAAAACACGGTGTTTTCATCTCAAATGATGTACAGGAAAAAGCAGAAAATCCAAACCCTATTTTCTTGTGCTGCTTTGTAATTTTCCAGGCTTAATCTGAAGGAGTCATTAGCATTAATACTATTGTTGAATTGTTTTATTTTACGCTGAAATTGCACCATGTTATAGCAAGCTTCTCGAAAAGCTGAGGTACATTTAGTGCAAATACATTCATTTCAAGGTGTTTCTTTTTTTTTCCATTCAACTGGTGATTTCATTAAAAAGATATCAATACCGTAATTTTTCAATAAGCTTCAGTTACACGATTTTCACAGCCTCGTTTTCAGCCTCCATGAGAGGGTCGTCTTTTCTCCCGTTTATGATCCTCATTACAGACTCTTATTACTTTAATATTTCACTCTGAATACTCAAAGCTAATTCGCTTCTCTTTTTCATCATTTTTCAGAAGAGGTAAAATCCCAACAAAAAAAGAAAAAAGAAGCAAAGTCTCAAGTCGCTCCCAGGTGAACGACTGCATCGGCTCGTGTTACATGTGTTTCTGAAGAGCTCCTTTGGCCTCCTGCAGTGATTCAGATTACCTGTCAGGGGAGTGATGTGGACATTCAGCGATACTGCAGCGTTCATTTGTCTTGTCTGATGATTTTCCTTCAGCCTCGTAGAATTGCAAAGGTGTTTATTCATTGGTATGCCTGCAGGGCCACTTTAAATGTGCAGACATTTGTTATTGGGTGCATATTCAGTCTGACATGGTTGTTAGATTTGAGATGTGCTTGTTTTTATTCTGCTGACTTTTACAGCTTTGACAATGATTCTTATTGTCTATAAAAGAGGCTGGTCTGGTTCAAGGACGGACGTTTCTTCCTTGAACTTCACAAGCCAATTTCTCAGAGCTGGGATACGGCGTAAACGTTCATAAAACCAGAATTTGTATGGTTTGCAAATCATTTAAAGCCCTGATTTAATTGAAGAGAGCGCAATTAAAGTGAAGTGAACAATCAATGTTAAAAATTTTGTACATTTAAAATTCGATGCCAGTAGTATGTTATGAAAACAATTAAGACAGGAGCTTGTTTTGCATTACCTGTTTTTTTTAAACAACACTCTGCAGAGTGTATTTGGGAACCAAAGAGAACAATTTCTGGAGTTTTGATGGAGGAAAGCTGTCTTGTTCTTGCCTGATAAAGGTATTCAGCTGCACAATGGTTCTGGTCTGCTTGGTTTTGTGAATTTTTTTTCAGCAGGTGACAAATCAGGAGTGCAGGCAGGTCAGTTTAGCAGATGGACTTTTCTTCTACAGACCCATGCTGTAGGCACTTCTACATCTCCAGAGCTTAAGGAACAGTTTCAGGCCATCTTAAATGGACTGAGGTCCAAAGAAGTCTCCTGTATTTTTGCATGTTCGCATACCTTTTGCTTTTTGCATGGCACAGTTTTGACAATGATTCTTGATCCCATGCAGTACATTCCACTATAGAGTCAAGTGTGAAGATTACAGTCATCCAACATCAGTTATCGACCTCATTCCTTTTGCAGAGATTTCTTTACATTCTTTGTATACTTTGATGAAAATATGTACTGTAGATGATGAGGTCCTTAAACTCTTTGGAATATACGCAAATACGAAGAGGACCATTTCCTCACCCAGTCTCCGAGAGAGGTAAACCTCTTCCCATCTTTACTTCTAAGAAGCCTACCCACTTAGGAATACCCTTTTTATGCCCAGTCAGGTTCCTAACCTGTTGCAAATTACTGCTTTTAGTTGAGAGATGATCCTCTATCCCAACTGTGCTGACATCACATTTGAAGTATTTGTCAGTTTCACATTTGATAAGTTGGATTATTATGGCATAAATTTAAGTTATGGTCAAACACACTGTAATACCAAGTTAGACACCCCCTCCAGAGATGAGGTTGCCGACCGCTTGCTTCTCTAGTTATTCCAACTTTAGCAACAACCGCACGATAGCAATACACAGCGGTCTACGTCTCCACGTGCAAACCTCAACCAAAAAGCCACTCTTTAACCACAAATAATGCTCAGAACAGCACCTAACTTCATCAACAGTACATATGGGTCATTCCATGTCAATTCAACCACGAATCTCCACTCACGTCACAGATTTTGATGAAATTTGGTGGAGTGATTGGCCTTCAGGAGAAACTGTCAGAGCTCATATATTTTTGTTCAAAGCCATCTAGTTAGTGAGATGGGGCTAATGAATTTTTGGCTAATTGGCATGTGTTACAAAAATGTTCATATCTCTGGAAGTATGGCACCTAGAGAGCTGATTCAGGTGTCATTTTAAAGCTCTCTTCAAGTTCTATCTCTTTGTTCATAACATTTTTTCCCAAATTGGACCAGAAAAAAATTATAAAACACTAAAAACTTAAATTGGAAATAGCAAAAAACGTGCGTCCTCCAATTTTTTTCATATTCACACTTAAGAAAGACTATCATGTCCACTAGCATCCCTGCAAGTTTCAGGATGGGCATTCCATAACTTTTTGAGTAATCAGTCTAAATGTGTGGTACATTAGGTCGAAAATCACCATATTTGGCACTTTATGCTGTCCTGACCTCATCTGGAGTCAGCCCCACTTGCCTGCTTGTGTAAAATATTACTTCCTCATAGTGCAAAATGCTTTTTTTTTTAGTGTTTTCATTTGTATGTTATCCCATATTTATATGGAAAATGGCTAGAATAGCTTATTTTTGCTCAGTTTTCCATCGCATTTCATTTCTATTTGCACCTATATCCAGAATATGAATGATCTTAGCTCCATGGGAGAATCATTTGGACATACCTGCATGTCCTGGATCTGCATGTCATATCCAGTACTTCATTTACAACATATCACAAACATTACAAATGTGATGATGATGTCAGATATCATAATTTTTTCAAATGTAAACAACTTCATTTACAACATATCACAAACATTACAAACGTGATATGTTGTAAATGAAGTTGTTTACATTTGAAAAAATGATGATGTCAGAATGACCAATGCCCTGGAGCAGAAAGTGAAGGAACTGCAGGGGGATGGTGTTTCAAGAAGAGCAGAGGATGAAACAAGTGATACTGGGGGTAATCAAGAGCTCCAAGAACTTGTGGCATCTTTAAAGACTCAGCTGCAGGCCGAGAAAAACAGGGCAAAAAAACTCAAGAAAAAGGGGGAAGATTTAAGATCTCAGCTTCAAATTGTAAATGACAACTTGACAAAGTTGGAGGCAGAAAAACTTGCCCAGGAGCAGAAGACAGAGGCTGAAAGGGAAGCGAGACAGAGAAAGGAGGATTCAGATGAAACCAAGAAGGTAGAAGAGCTCCAACAACTTGTGGAATTGTTCAAAACTAAGCTGCAGGCTGAAAAAAACAAGACTAAAACCCTCGAGAGCGAACGAGAAGAAATCAGGTCTTTCCTTCAGAAGATTGCCAAGCGGGCTAACCAATCAGAGGCTGAGAAGGTTGTCCTGGAGCAGACTGTGAGAGAGCTGCAGGAGGAGATCATGAGCAGAGCAAAGACTGAAACAATTTACCTCTCCAAGATTCAGAAGGACCTTAATATATTTGAGTCCCAAAATATTCTTCTGCAGGAAAAGGAGCTGACAGCTGACGACCTCATGACACAACTGGAGGAAGTCAAGCATCAGCTTCTGGACAAAAGCAGCAAAGAGATGAAGCTGACTGAAGAGGTGACAAGAGAAAACGAGTCTCTGAAACAGACTGTGAGGGAGCTGCAGGAGGAGATCATGAGCAGAGCAAAGACTGAAACAATTTATCTCACCAAGATTCAAGAGGGCCATGATGTGGTAGCTTCCCAAAATATTCTTCTGCAGGAAAAGGAGCTGATGGCTGACGACCTCATGACACAACTGGAGGAAGTCAAGCATCAGCTTCTGGACAAAAGCAGCAAAGAGATGAAGCTGACTGAAGAGGTGACAAGAGAAAACGAGTCTCTGAAACAGACTAAGGGTAGCCCAAATAGAAACCAAATGAAGAATACAATATTTGATAATGTGTTTCCCTGGCCAGTACACAGGTCACCAGGGCCTCCCCTGGAGCTAGGCCTGGGAGCACACTCGGGGAGCCCTGACAAGTTGATTACCGAGTGCAGCGGAAAATTTATGATCATTAATTCGTGGAAATGCACTCAGACGGAGACGCGAAGGCAGAAGAAGGATCATTATGATGATTATTACTTCATGGAAATGATCTGCTGCACTCGGTGATCAACTCGTCAGGGCTCCCCAAACAAGTGGCTGCTGGAGGCGAGTGGGTGATTTGTGTTTAGTCTCTTTGCTACAGAAATTCGGCAAAGATGTTTGGTGGCTAGTACTCTGACTGGGACCCTATATGAATTGAATTGACATGGAATGAGAGGATGTCTATATTGCGGTGGGTTTGACCCTAACTTAAATTTTACGCAGGAATATCCCTTTAATTCAAAATAGGCTTTAATTTAAACAATATGCAAACCTTCAAAATCGATCAATATTTTCCCCAGTGTCTCGATTTTTGGACAATTTGATTCTTCTCAGCCCTCTTACAAAACTCTGGGCTTCCTAAATGACATATAAAAATATAAATATATATACACATGCTTATTAAAATTGAGATTCCCTCAAAGGGGGTATATTATTTCATGACTAAATCATTGTGAACAAAAATAGTCAAAGACTACGTTAAAGTCTCATAATGACAGCAGCAGCTGGGCACCAATTAAGAGGACAAATGGGGCTTTTAACTTCATTGCTCATTAAAGGGCTAATCTCCCATCACATATTAAAATAGCATTGTAGCTGTAAAACCTCTTTGTGCAGAGACGGGCTAACTGTCAGAGATTGATGAACATTAATACACAGCCACAGACCAGACAACACATCACCCCACAGACACACGCTGTTTAATTCATCACATCTTGATGCACAAATTACGGCGAATTTGGCCTTCAACCTTTAAATCTGACATCATCACACACACGTCTCTGCGAGCAGACAGCTTCGATGGCTGTGATCATGTACGAGCACAAAGCAGCAGAAGAATAAGAGCCAGTGACAGTCCTGTCTGGTTTTTTGTTATAGCGTCCTCGGGACTGGAGCGATTATGCGTGGAAGTAATGTGACATCCTCAGAAAGGCTGCGGACTTTGAAGAGAAGCGTGTTTTCACTCACGAGTGGGACAAATGAAGTTTGAATCCGACAAAAGAATCCAAGCTTTTTGCTGATAACAAAGAGATGAGGTCGAGAGTATTTCTGTGGCACATAATTAGGAGAGGAGCTCACTCGGGGTTATGTCAACAGAATGTGTCATTAACAATCCTGATATTTTAATGTCCCAAATATTGCTCAGAATCAGCTGCAGCAGGAGTCGGCCTGTGCACAGAATGAAACTGCATCGCTATAAATTCAAGTGCAGAATGACTGTGCGTTTTTTTTTTGTGCTCAGTCACAAAGAACATCAGCGTCTGACATAGACAAAGACTGCTCATTAACATTAAAGTGAAAAGGCAATAAAGTCTCCGCCATAAATTTTTCATGCACTCCCATCTATGTGCTTTGTGTTGTGCGAAAAAAGGTCATGGATCATTTCTGTATGTAATGTGATCATTAACATTTAGCATAGCCGATTTGTGATGATGCCAAATGGACCATTCTCTAACAGAGGTGTTTTCTCGGCACAGAAGTACCTGCATCACACAAAGTGAGATCTGTCTCTGCTCTTGTCAGGGTTATGTGTTTATAAAGAGAAAAAGAAGTTGTTGTTAAAGTGCAGTTTTCATCTCAGTGCGTGATAACACAACCCCTCTGGCCTCCCTCTTCTTTGTTACCTTTTTATCCTTCCTTTCTTCGCTCCTTCTGGACCATTTTCACATGGCAGTAATTACAAAAACAGAAAGCATTTGGAGCCTCTCAGCTCCTGGACAGTGGCAGATAAGAGAAGAGTTCTGAGCTGCATAATGGTCAGGATTAACCTTCCTCACACTCTGGCTTCCCCTCAAAGCGAGGTAGTTGACGGGAATGGAATGACTTCCATTACACAGCACATCATAAAAATCACTTATTATTAACTCCAGTCACATCTCCGCACTTTTATTTTGCCGGGTAAATAAAGTGTAGTCAGTGGACAGCGTTTAAGCTGACAAGAAAAAGCTTTGAGACCATCATTGATTCTTACCAGGTCTGACAAGTTAAGCTGAAGTAGTAATTTTCTATGCCCAGACAATTTTTAGGTTCATTGAGAGCCTTTAAAAAGTTAATATCAATAAGACAATATGCAGTTGGAGAGAAGCCAAACATGTCTCTGCAATTAAAGTCTGTTGAATAATTTAATCAAGTTTCAAAACTACATTAGAGATACTTAACCTCCTCAGGGTCATTTGTCTCTGGGTTGTCTTAACATATTTTAACATCATGATTATTGCGGCCGAAAGAAAGAAAACACAAGCGGTTAAATTAAGGAAAGGCAAAAGTGGAGCTTTGTAAACTTTTCTGTTCAACAAACTTGGTTTAACTTTGTAATGTCACTAATTTCTAATGATGTTCAGTCAGGACCACTTCAGTCAAAATTAATTATTTATTACAAGCAAACATTTTTACATTGGCAGTATGGCTCTGTTCTAAGAGTTCCCTGCCCTTCCATGCGCTTACATGGAATGCCACGGCTATAAGAGGAGAGAGCTCCTCCCCTCCCTTTCATGTGCATGCATGGCCAAGGCAGAGAAAGCAGCAGCAAATAAATACGATTAAGATAAGTACATTAAAATCCCCCCACAGAACTGAGCAGGCATCAGTGACAATACATATGACACTGGTAAGATCAGACACGACATAAACAGGAGGAGCTGGGGTGGAGGTGGGTTGCAGAGTGGTTGCAGCAGGCAGAGTAGGCAGGAGAACCAGTTTAAATAGGGCGCCATTTTGACATTAGCCATTAGGATGTGTAGAGGGGGATCACCTGAGTTTGTGAAATACATTGAAAAATATTATTTATGCCTATCATAATGTCTGAAAGGATGCCTAGCCAGGTTCCACACAAAGAATCAGTTTTCCAAGATGAACTGGTTGCAGATCTGGGTTATATTTCAGCATTTGACAAGAGTAACAAAGACTGGCATGATGTGGATCAGCTTTTCTCTCTGTTACCCCAGATTTAGACCGCATGTGGAATGGCGGCGATTTTCACCACCTGCCAATTCCTACCAGATGCGTTGTGAGGCGAATTTCATGGCGAATTTCAGACAGCGGGAATCGCGAGAACTCACAAGAACCCGCGAATTCAGATGCAATCGCGTGATAACAAGTTGTCTTTATAAAGACTGCCACATAACAGTAGAAGCAGTAGATTGTGTCCCTCTAGAGGAGGAAATCCTCTCTGTCCAGACCAGTGGATCAGACAATTTTGTGGAGACAGGTGAAATGAGGTCTGAAAACCTTGTTTGTCTCTGTCCACATTTGCATAATGTGAAATATGATCCGCCTGAAACACGTTTTACTTTGAAAAGAAGCCAGATATTTTATTTTGTGTCTGCACCAGACTTCATTTGTAGCATGGGCTAATCTGTGCTGAATTCATGCGGCATGCTGCGGTGATTGGCTACGAAGCACGCTGAACCGCAGGGGGCTGGAGAGAGGCCGTTAGAAATTGACACATTCACTTGAATGGAAACGATCAGCACTGACAGCCTTTTCGCCGCCATTCTGTGTGCGGTGGAAATTTGGGGTTAGCCAGTCTGCTAACCTTATACTGTCAGTAGAGAGAGTCCATATAGGGTAAACAACACGGTATTTTTTCGGAGTTCCTTGTTTAGGATCTTTCCCTGGAATACAGGGCACCATCCAGGGGACTTAGATCTAGCACTAGAATATCTGAGGTCTTTAAGTTACACAACTCAACCACTATGAATAGTTAAAAATCATCCTGACGATATCTGGAGGTTAAAAAAGACCATCAGGGACAACATAGATGGTTTTGTACCAGGCAATCGATCAAAGAAAAAGCAGAATTTCACAATTTACACATAAAGACTGTTTCTTCATTACTACCTTTATACCTTTAAAAAATGAAGTATTCAGAACTGTCTTCTGATCCTTTCTTTGCTGCTCTTCCTGCCTCTTCAGTTTCCTCCTGTGCTCTGATTACTCTGAACCGCTGATGGTGTAAACCACACTGGGCAAGATGATGCAAGACCCATGAAGACGAAAATCACAGCTTAGAGTTTAATCAATAAAATCTATGTTCATGCATGTGCTCAGCTTGTTGCAGATAACCGTGGAGATAAAACACAAACCGCCCTCTGTCTTTTCTTCATGCTTTGTTTTGGCTGCAGAGTTGGATGATCAGTATGGCTGAGAAAACTGAAGCAGGACTTTGTTTCTGACCTTGATCACTGACCTGCAGACTGTTTCCAGAGACTAAGGCTGTGATTTACAGATAACCACCATGGATGTGCGCACACACACGCATGCGCACACTCGGTCTGCTTAGTCGAGTGGTCGATATTCACTGGTGCATGTCATTGTGTCTGGGGAAGGGAGACAAAGGTTAATGATGGGGTAAAAGGGCAAAACCTTCTTCCCCTGAGAGCGGTTTGTGTCCATTTGGACCAGAGAGGAAACAGGTACCACACCATAGAGAGCTAAACAGAGACGATAAATGTGCGTGGAGTTGAGATTTACCGAACATGTCAAGGAGAAACTGTAAATCAGACCATCTAATCTCTAATTAGGCCAACAATATCTGAGATGTTTGACTTTTATCCTGTCTTGTTTTTGTTACTCTGGAAGAAAGTTAAAAAAATATTACTTTCCATTTTTGTCCGATTTATAGAAACAATGCCTCATTGATTTGACGGATGTATTAATGAATGTTGTCTGCAAAAAGCTAGTTTGAAAAGTTAAACCAAGTGTTAAAAGTGGTTTTGCATCTACTTCAGTAGTTTTTCCTATCATTCCTTGTCGATGCAGTTACATAGTCATAGTTATAGTTACAGTTACATTCAATTCGCCTCAATCAGAAAGAAATTATATTTTGATTAAAAGTGGTGGTTTATGCCGATCGTTATTCCG